ACCTCGACACCCCGCAATTTTTCAGATAAATCGACTTTTGTATCTTGTAGCAAATTTCATGGGCTTTCAAATAGGCCTAAAGAAAATTTTAAAATATGCAGCAAATGGGATATCTGAAAAATTGGGGGGTGTCGAGGTTTTTTGGAACGGACTTTATCTCAAAAATATCGAAAAAAATAATATTTTTTGCAAAAAGTATACCTTTTTCAAAATCAATTTTAACCCATAAGATTTAACTTTAAAAATATAAAATTTATATTGATCGATAGAGAATAAACTGAATTTTCAGAATCTTTTTAAATTTTGTAAATCGGACTAGAATTGGCCGAGAAATGATCAAGACGCTAAAAGTTGCCGCAAAAAATTCAAACATGTTTGAATTAAAAAAAGAGACGCCGGCGTCAAGACGCCGGCGGAAGATGCATTTTATGTAACCACTCAAAAAAGCGGCAAGACGCTCGGCGTCAAGACGCCGGCGGAAGACGCGGGTTATGTAACCACTCAAAAAAAGCGGCAAGACGCCGGCGTCTTGACGCCGGCGGAAGACGCAGTTTATGTAACCACTCAAAAAAAGCGGCAAGACGCCGGCGTCTTTTACTCTCTTCATTTCCCATTATCTTTTCTGCCGCAAGACGCGCGCGTTTTTTATGTAACCGTAGCATAACGCAAGCAAAGCCAAACATTATACTAGAGGGTTTTCGTAGTATAAAAGATAATATTTAAAATTATTAGCTAAACTAATTAGCTTGTCACTAATCAGCCTTTAATTAGCCTCAGTTGAACAGGAGGCTTTTGAACAGGAGCATGCTGTTGAAAGGGCTACAACACCTCCTGCATAACAGTTAATGAGTTTAGCTGAATAGGCTAGCTATTTATACTTAAAAGCTGGTCGGCTGAAAGGAAACCAACATCCTCAGTTGAACAGGATACTTTTACACAGGAACATGCAGTTGATCAGGAACAGGACCACGCCGCGAATGAATTAAATACATTCGAACTGATTCTACCTTACTTAACTTGTGCAAACCCTAATAATAAAACCTGCCTCGTAGTTTTGGATTTCTTTTTTAACATGATTGAGTTTCTCCTCTAATTTAAGAGCGTAATCAGCGACATCAATTTCAATAGTTTCGCAAAGGAAGAGCAGGCACTTGAAAATTAATAAAGTTTTTAATTGCCACATTTGATTGCGGCAAACTCTAAAAAATATTTTAATATGTATGAGGTTTTAAAAATTGTATTATAGCACTTCGTGGGGACTTCAGTTAGTTGAAGTTATAAAGTAAAAGGGCATTTAGAGAACCTAAGTTCTACTTATCTCGGACCCAGGGTGCCTCCTTACCAACTCATCAAAAGGGGGCACGGCCACTCAAAAAGATAGAATGAGGAAAAGGGAGGCGAAAAGTAAAAAACAAATGCCCTCTTAAGATGGAAAAAGTGTCACCCTGCTCGGACCTAGCGTAAAAGTTAAGACATGAGTTGAGTATCCGTATATCCTTAACAAAGGATTAACCTTTCTGGCGGGATATCGAATCCGAATATTAATAACATAGAATAAGCCATCCGTAAGGTAAACAAAAGTTGCCCTTTTACATTTATTGTCTATTTTAAATTACTTAAATTCTAAAGAAAATTAAAGGAGTGAGGAGTAAATGCCAAAATATAGTAGGGGTGGGGGCATTTAAAATTAAATAGAAATTATATAAACGCGAGTCCTTCTCAATTAGGGAGAGGGCAAATAAGGGATTCTGTAAATGCATCGGCAATGGCGCTGTCAAGACTCAGTTGTTTGTTAAGGCGCGTGAATACAGGGCGCCTATTTGCCCGTATTGACTGCCGACCCCCTCTTAGTCTTGCCATTAGTCTTGCGCCAAAGTAACCCCAGCCGTCTCATTAAGGCAGCGCATGGCTGTCGCGAGGCATGCCTGTCGCGAGTCATGCCTGTCACGCGTCTTAAAATAATTTATCAATTAAAATTAATCAATTAAATTATTAAAAATAATAATTAAATTACCGTAATTAATTAAATGCCCTCTCCGTTTGAATGGTCTCCATAACCCTTTTTGAAGGATTGAAAATAGAAGGGCGGCCATTCAATTAAAATAAATAGGGTATATTAAAGTTAATGGAGAAAATGCTGATAAGGATGATAAATGAAACAGATTCAGGCCAAACTTTTACCTCAACCAAACTAGTACCGTACAGAGCAAGAAAGATTTGCAAAGTTTACTATTTGAAGGAAATTTTTGTCAGAGTTTGGAGAGGTCTGAGGTAACGGAATTTAAAAATAAAATTTTCAAAAAAGAATACAAAAATAGGCAAATAAAGGTATTTTTAATAGCAAAGTGCATTGCGGAAATCCTTAAAAAGAATAAAAATGTGCCCTTTCATTTCCTGCTTAATTTTGAAAGTAATCTCGTGAAAAGTGCGAGTGCGGCATTTAAAAAAATCAAAGGTAAGGTCTCGATTGCGACAACGATTTCTCAAACCTTTGCCGGAAGCCGCTGTATTTCAAAGTAATTTTTAGACGTAAAGCAAGCGACTGGTTAGCTAGAGTTGTTTACCTTTTTATTTGCGCATATGCCCTTATAGCGGGCTTGTCTTTTTAAAAGGATCTGTTTTTATTAAACATAGTCATTTACCCATCTTTTCCTTTTGTAATTTGTATAGAAATAAAAAATAATTTGTTGATTGTTTGTTCAGATGCGGTTTGTTTTTGCTATAGCCGCATTCAATGCGTTGCTCGGTAATTTTTCCTTGGTAAAAAATATATGATTAATTTTAAATTTATACAGTCGGGTCTCAATTTTACATACACCCTTTAAAAAGCGAAAGTTTCCTTTATTTTGGGGTAATTTACTTACATAAATGTCTTATTTGGTTCTGTCTGAGGCATGCTAAGGCTTCGTTTGGGTTGACATCATTAATTTCAAGAGCTGAGAATAAAGTCCTGGGCTAAGGGCGGTTCTTCAAAATTTTCTTCAGATCGGGTCTAGCGCGAAGAAAAAGTCCGGGGTTTGGATCGGATCATTCAAGAGGAAGGCTAATGAATTGACCTCAAATAATAAGCGCCTAACCAACAATAAGCCATCTTCCACTAGTCAGTGGTCAACCTATTTAAAAACCAAGCTATCATTTGGTGTATGTAAAATTGAGATTCGAACGTATTTGAATCAGAAACAAGATTAAATTTCGATAGTTCTGGCATCTGCTGTTACTTATGGCAGCTTGGAACCTGTCGTGAGACATCCTGGAGCAGCGACTTCAAATAACTCCATAATTGAAAATGGAGGATATCACCTTACGCATCACAAGCCACGCTTCAGCGATCGGTATAATAATATTGAATTAAAAACTTAATATTTGCGGAATAAGTTATATGAACAGTAGGTGAATGTAAGGATTTGGCCCAGTACAGGCATCGATTCTACGACCTTCTAGCAAGATGGACCTTGCGACCTTGAGTGGCATAAGAGCGGCACATAGGGAAAAAGGTCGGATCTGTGTTCGAAGAATTGTTCGGATCGGTTCGGATAACCCGTGAAGAGGTTAGGATAACCGGATAACCCGTGGTTCGGATAACCCGTGGCATCTACTTTATCTTCACTTATTTTAGAAATTTCGACTACGACTCACTAGTTGATGCTGAAACAGAAAATGCTGATCGTTTGAAAGAAGAAAACTCTCCACTCCTTCAACAATCAACAGACGATAATAATGATGAAAAAGTAGATTACGTTGAAAGTAACAATGAAGAACCTCCTTCAACAACTCGTAGAAAGTAAATTTTTAGATTAAATCAGTCGATCACTCTTAATTAGGTGTATCGTATTTAGTTGAATAAGCGCCCTCGGTAATTATTGTTTAAACCTATAACTAGAATGGTAATTATTACATCTAATTAGATCAAATGCTCTCTATCAATTGCCCTCCCTCGATTACTAATTATTAGAGTTTGATCCCCGTTCCTGGAGGAGTGAATTCTCTTTGTAAGGGGCTCTGGGCAGACTTTTGCCGTTACTCGAGGAATTTGCTGATCAGGAAACATGATCGAACCCTAGTAATTAATCGAGGAACGGTAATTTATAGGCATTATATAGTGTATTTATATATTTGCTGGTAACTGTATGGGGGGGGGCTGCATAAACAGTACTCCTATAAATGTCGACTCACTTATGTTGACCATTTTTTCGGGCCCAATGGGTAAGAAATAGAGTCAGACTACATTCTGATAGTTTTGTCCAGAGGGTGACGTATCAGCAAGCTTTATAAAAATATTTTTAAAAGGAATGAGTTCTATACCGTGCCAGAAGTCAAAAATAAAGGAAAGCAAGTGGAAAATGCAAAAGATACTAAAGACTCGGATCATGGCAATACACGTAGAAAGTAAGCTATTATTTTTAGAAAATAGGATTAAACAGAATTTTAATTTTAAGGAAGAAACTGTCGAAGCCTAACACTTCGCCAAAGGTTACGCCAAAGAAAATTATGGCTCTTACAGTAATCTTAATGCTTGCTGTTGTTAACCCATTCAATTTCTTTTTGGTTTATCGTTAGTTTTATAGAGATTTATAGTCATGTAGGTTATTAATTGCTTGGTTCTTACAAAGAAGCCGATCCTTTATTATTTTCTTTCCAACACACCTTATTTTAAGCTGATGGATGTGGGATGTGTTCTACCATGATTTTAACCCTAACATACATTGGCAGTTATCATACAGAGATTCAAATGTAATTATTACACCACAAAATGTCCTTATTCCTTCCTCCCATCTCCTTCAATTTTATCTGTTTTCAGAAGGCCGACCCCTTATTTATATTGACTGAATCCTCATACTCCAGTTTCCTAGGATATAATCCATTGATTATCAAAAACCACCCAGTTAATTATTCAAATAGCCTTGGATCGAACTTGGGTCTCAACCAAAAATAGTTAATAATACCCTAGATATGATCAAAATTTTGCTGCCTATAATTGAAAAATTAATTTTTCAGCGGCTATGAAGGCTATGAATAAGGATCAGCATCCACCTGAGCGCACAATTATTTCCTTAAACTCGTTAACAAAATGTGAAAAATCAGACAAGGATCCAACTAAAAAGCTATGCAAAATTGAAATGGATGATACCGATTACGGAGGGCATATCGAAATTTATGCCAAGACTCCAAATGACGACGACCATTTAAGCTTGGTTACAAAAGTTGACCCGACCGAGTGCAAAGTGGGTACTAATGTTGTTATTGAAAAGTGGCATACTGGAGAAGTCAGAGCAAGATGTGAAAAGAATGTGGGACTGATCGACTTGGATCATCCAGAAAATAAGATTAAATTGAATTCTGAGGAGGCTAAAAAAGTGAAAAAGTGTATGTTAATATTTAATTTGAGATGGTTCAATGGGGATTCAATGGTTCAATATATCTTGGAACCAGTTTGATTATTAGAGTAAAGCAGTTGGGCTATAGCTATTTCTCTCCTTTAGCTAAGGTTAATCGGCGGCTGGGAGCGAACCAGAATCTTCAGTAGACCGGGCTGATGTGTTAGCCATTACACCGCCTAATGCACAGCCTTAGGAATTGAATAGCTATTTGCTTTACATTGGTACAAGCGAGCCTTACCTATTAGTCTGAGATATGACCTGGATTCTTAAATTAGGTTAGAGTAAGTTTATAATTTATAAAAGAGAGGGGGTCACTTATAGGTATCCGAAAAATCCAATGTTTTCGCGAAGCACGCTGGAGCCGAAGGCTCATAATGCCAATTACTCAGTCCTTTAGGATTCCAAAACCTTAACATTAAATTTATAAATTTAAAGATGAAACTGAGAATATAATTCGTCGCTCATTACTTGATCCTGAAGATGAACTTTTTGCTCAAGGCAAGGATATTGAGACTTCGAGAATTAAAAATCAAAATCAGCGCTTTTTCCAGCACCCCTCATTTTATGAACTGGAGAAGAAACGCCGTCAAATGAGTGAGGAACGTTTAAAAAGCTATTCTCACAACACCCAATCATCTAACTTGCGACGCACAAAATCAGAAAATGATGTTGACACTTTGCCTCACGAACATCGCCGTCTCATGAGTCAAAAACCCTTAAATGTCCATTCTCATATTATGCCAACAGCGAAACTGCAACATTCAAAATCAGCGGAGGAAAGTAATCCTTGGCATGAAAACAATCGAAAGCTGAAAGAAGGATTAATTAGCTATTCTTACGGTGATGCCTACCAAAATTTCAAAGTGCCTCGTTCAGAAACGATGTTCTATTGGAACGATTTTAGACATGGTTTGAGTTAAGATTTTTATAGGAAAATTTGACGTAGTAAAAGTTTAGAAAGAGCCACCAGGCAGGAATTGAGCCTGTAACAGTTTAAGTGCTTGCTAGTCCTTCGCATACAACTTTACAGGATTTTATCAAACGTTCTATATCAAGTTTTGCTGTTTAACCTCACCTAAGATTTTAAATGCTACTAGGTGAATCCTCCTATCTAGGGTTGAGTTTTAAATATCGCACACACAACGAGGAAAATTTTCCCTAGCTTTATAACCTTCAATTTATTGTTCGGGGAAGCCTGGTTGATAAGACCGATAATGAGTTATCAATCCATATTTTCGATATTTTTTCATATTCTGGCGTTAGTATCTAATAACATACAATTTTAAATTTCATAGGAGATGGACGCTCAAAGTTTCAAGGTGTTGGTATTGAGAAATCACTCGAAACTAACAAAAAGTCTACTGAACAGGATGATAAGGTTATATTATTAAATATTAATACTAGGTTAGTAAAGTATATCTCCTCCTAGTTGATAAAGGAAAAATAGAAAAATGAGTCGTTGATGGGATGGCTATCTCTCAGGATTCAATCCGTTGATTTTTTTCAGGTCCAATCCGATGATTTTTTTCAAGGCAAATCTCGATAAGAGATATCATCGTAACCGAACTGAGCCAACGCTTAACGGGCAGTACGGGTTATTGAGGTGTTTTCCCTCTCTAAAGTAAATCCACGAGGCCGAGTTTTGCCTAAGTTACAATACAAAGAGTAAGGGGGTGTTGTACACTCAAAATTAGACTGAGTGAAAAATTTATCTAAAATTAAGGACAATGAACAGGATGAAGTGAACAATTAATTTACGTTTAAAACGAGTAAAAAAATGTGTAGATTTGATGAATTACCTGATAAATAAATTTAAAAATTTTGAAATTAAATATTTAGTTTAGCATTGCATTAATTTATTAGCATATTAAAAAATTTATTTTTATTTTCTGTCGCACTATTATGTTTATTTATGTATTACAAATTTTCTATTCTTATGAAATTTAAAATTGAATTCCTGCTTTTTATAAAATATTTTAATTCTTATGGGCCAATTTCTCATCTTTTCCAATTTTCGCGCAAATTCTTCTGTTACATAATCAAGTAAAGAAGAGAAAGATAAACAAGGGCGATGAAACTAATTGGATGCAGATTCGATACTGTGGTCTAACTGTAGCTTCCGTCAGAAATATATCCATTATCTCAACTCACGACTGTCATTAGGTCGAGGTCTAGTTTATTTATTACTTCTCCAGCCAAATAGTTTTGCGACTAACATCATTTAACACTTTAAAAATTGTCTGCTTAAAAGAGACATACAAAAATAACTCCACAGGACCATAAACTACGACTTAAAATCTATTATTTTACAAAGTTAAAATAACTTTAAAGTTAATAAATTATATATTAAATAAACACTTAAAATTGCTTTCACCGGCATTCCTTAACTAAAACTTTTTCCTTTTTTAATGATTTGATCCTAGTTTTTAATTCTGGAGATAAAAACGTTTGAAACACATTCTATTTCCGTATGAAATATTTACATTTTCTCAATCAAATCTTTGTTTTAGAAGAGATTTGGAAGAGATTAGAAATATACGCAATCGACAGTGTTCGAGTGATAATTCATTGTTTGTAGTAGGCATGCTTTTTATGTTCAAGAATCATTCGAAAACTTTTGTAAAATTTGTCTGCTTTAAAGAGACATCAAAAAAATTTTCCGCAAGAGAGGTCAAACTAAGGTATAATGTCTCTTATTCTATAAACTTTAATGAAAATAAAATTGAAAAAATATATATAAATTAAACACACTGAATTGGGTTCAATCAGTGATGCGGGGGTTCCAGTTACGGAACTAGAACTGTGGAACCGATAAATGTCTGGAACCGGTTTGGAACTGGAACCGGTTTGAAACTTGAACGGCAACGGTTCCGGAACCGGTTCCAATGCTACACCCCTAATGATGGGTGAAAGAGAAGTAATGAGTAAAAGATGGGAGGCATGAAACAAAAAATGGGAGGCTTCTAGTTTTCCAAAATTCTCAAAACTTTCGCCTGAGGCGCTAAAAAGAAAAACTGGAACCGCCAAAATTTTGGAACTTCCGCATCACTGGTTTCAATAACTTTTCTCAACTTAAATTTTTTCTCTTCCCTCAAGTATTGGTCCTAATTTTAATTTTGAAAACGTAAATAATCTTGAAACACATTGTTAAATTATTCTCGAGAAAAATAAATTAAAAATTAATAAAATTAATTAAATAATTAAAGCTTTGATGTTTAATAACCAATCGATTATTCATAATTGAATTCACGAGGCAATTCACGAGTTGGATTCACGGGGCAATTCACGAGCATAGGCATTGAAGGGCTCTCTCTAGACTGAGATTCATATGAGGTGAAGGGTAAGTGAGCGTTTGACGGGAAAAGGCATTTAAAGAGAGTGGAGTGTAAAAGAGAAAATGACTGGGTGATGTAGCTTTATAGGGGAAAAATAAGTGAGTGATTGAGGGAAAGTTATAGGTAGTGTGAGAGAAAGAAAGGGAATGAATGAAGGGAGAGGGATGAATTGCTCTTTCTTTTTCAATAGAGAAAGAAAATGAATGAATGAAAGGAGAGGTGAAGAAGTGGCATCTCTTTCATAAGGCAAAGCATGTAAGTGAGAGAGTCGATGAAGTAATGAGGTGAGAGTCGATGAATTGCTCTTTCTTTCAATAGAGAAAGAAAATGAATGAAGGGAGGGAGGGAGAGGCGATGAAAGGGAGGTGAGAGTCGAAGAATTGCTCTTTCTTTCTTAAGAGAGAAGGAAAATGAATGAATGAAGGGAGAGGTGAAGAAGTGGCAAAGAAAATGAATGAATGAGGGGAAGGTGAAGAAGTGCCTTTTCTTTCTCAAGGCAAAGCATGTAAGTCGAGGCTGTCCGCCATTTCAAAAAAACTTTATGCAAACACAATCCGCAACTCTCTATTTTAGTTTTGAAATTCAAAAAATTCCCTCACAAGTGCAATAAATAATTCCGGAAGCCATCCTTGAGATTTCCGGAAAACTAAAAAGCTAAGAGTGCATTTTAATAAAATTAAGGGAAACAAGTAGCGGCATGGGAGGCAATACAAAGGCATATTTCTTATTTGAGTAGTCGAGAGCGTATGGGAAAGGGCCGGCATTGAGTGTCATTGCTGTGTAAGAGCTTATAAAAATTTTTAAAATACAAACTACAATTTAAATGTAAAAGGCAAATCGCTCGCCCCATCTCTATACATTGCCCAGCTTCATTACCCATTCCATATTTCTTTACCAACAGCCCCTTGCCTAACATTAAGAATTGAAGTAACGCTGAATGAAGCTTTTTGTGTTGTTAATTGGAGTTTTGGCCTTTACGGGTAATTTTATATTTAAAAATTGGGGATTGGCTGACAACGGTATCAGATACCCAAAGGAGTTGAAAATGTTTTAATTATTATAAGGGCTAGTATCTCAAATAGAGAGATCCTCTCTTAACAGACGAAGACCTCGTATTATAGCGCCGAAGCTTATAGATGCCGCTGAGGAGGATTTAATGGATCGGCCGGACGTTTAATTACACCCCCCCCCTACGTAGATCCCCAATTATAGAACCCTCTAAGACGGGAGGAAAATTTAGAGGCCGGCCGTTCATTTGGAGAAACTAGTTTTCATTCTTTATATTTATAACAGTTCTAAACGTCCATGGAGGACACATCAATTCGACACTGACTCACAGAATACAAAGCATCTTAGCTGCTGAGCAATTCACTGATATACCATTGAACGATACCCCATCTTCGCCTCCTCAAGCTGTGTCGAACAGTGAAAGTAAACTTTTATTAAATACTACTGTACCTCGATGAGAGGTTCTAACTTTTTATAAAAATTTTTAATTAAGTGCAAGCAGAACGAATAGTGCATCGTCGACATGCTCCAATGTAAAATAGCCTATAAAAATAGTTTTTTTATAATATTTTTTCATTTCAGGTCGATTGGGAAAAAAGTGGTGGCTGTAATTTTTGCATTTCTTCTGTCTGTTTCTTCGTTATATCTATTAGCCGGTAGGTAATTTTCAAATCTTAATATAACCACTGATAAAACAATTAATTATATAATCATTGGATATAGTTTTATAGTTTATTAGTGTTATAGTTTTATTATAAAAGCTAGTGAAAGCGTCAGTCTAGTTGGAGTCCTGATTAGAGACTGACTGATTGTCCCTCCCGGGTAGCCCCGGATAGTCCTGACACATTTTACAATCAACTTCGGATAGACGTTATTTCTGCGCACTTCTACATTGTTAAAACATCGGACACCCTCGGACATAACAGGATAGTAGATAAATACGGTAAATCTCTTTATATAGGCACTACACGTTCTGAATTCTGTTTACATAACAAGAAAGGATTCTTAGGAAAAGGGCCATATTAACCCTCAGATATGTCAGAAACATAGCAATGATACATCCTCAGAATTAAATTAAGCTGAGGCAAAATGGAAAGTGGCGTGAGGAGGGAAAGTGGCGGGGGGAGGGAAAGTGACAATTGCTAGAGGATCTAAAACCTCCGCTCTCTTACTGTATACGGTAAATAAGATGAAGTTATACACTGATTTTATCCATTTAAATTCCAAATCCCCCAAAAATAAGTTTCATTAAACTAGAAATAACTAATAATTATTGCAGTGCCAAAACCACAAATCCAACAAGTTGAGTACAAACATTCGCCACAACACTATAAATTTATTTCGCTTAATGACAAAGTTATCTGCGACAGAAAAACACAACAATGTTCAATAAAATTCAAAAATTTGGATCCTAATCACGAGTATATATTTTATACTGCAAAGAATGACAATGGAAGAGGAAAAAAAGTAAAGTTAACTGAAGTTGCAAAAATAGATCCGGACAAGTGTGATTTTGACAATGTAAAACAGGAAGTAGATGGAGAAGAAATTTGTAAACAGGTAATAAATACAAAAAAAATTTATTTTAGCACGTAGATCTTACATTTAAGCATATTCTAGAACAGAGATAGGCATAATTCCGCTTTTTTGCTTTTTTTTCGCTTTCTCGACCTTTTCGGTCCACCTGTCTAGTCCTAATTTGTTCCGCATCATTCCTCCTTCATCATATGCTTTTTTAATTGGAACCGTCCATGATTTAAAAAGGCCTCTTAAAAGTGCTCTATCTAATTACTAGTGGGAGGATTTTAATGGAACAACATAAACAGAACCCAACTGCCCAGGAACCAGCCTTGTCTGAACAGTATCTGACGGTTTAGTTAAATAAAAGAAGGCAGAAGTGACCAGTGACAGATTTGATAGAAATAATCGTTAGTTAGAGAGCATCGCTTCAGTGATTCATTAGAATATAAATCCGGGCTTATTGTTAAAATATAATACTCAAACTAGGATACATTCCGCTACTTGACCACTAAAAAGAGTTTGATAGTTATAAAGATATCATCGTTATAATACTGTAAAATCTCTATTAGAAAATCAGGGCATTCTATTTTTCAATCACCTTCCAAAGTGGCATTCTATTAGATTCTGGCATTAAACCGGAACGTGGCATTGTATTTTTCGATGAGTGTATTTTTAAATTTGAACAGAATTTTGATTAGCAAATTTAATCAACCGGAAATGTCATTCTAATAGAGACTTTACAGTATGTAGTGTTTTTAGCCTTGGGAAGGGAGGAGTATTTTATAGAAAAGTTTATTCTATTAAATATATTTAAATAATTATAATTTCAAAAGATTGTCAAAGGAATTGATGAGAACTCAAAGGCTGAAACTATTGAGGTTGACAGCGGAGAAATAATATTTGGTTCGGAATCAGATGGAACGGAGGATTATGCGATAGTTGAAGAAGGTAGTTGTTTAATTCAGTGGAGAAAGAAGAATTTATAATATTGCTAGTGAGGAAAGATTACAGTGGTAGGACAGTACCGAGTATTGGAAAAAACTCATAACTAATATCTTTCAAACAAACCAGATTATAATATAGGTTCAAGTCTAGATAGCAAATCTCTTCTTTGCCCGTCTATTACCTCTAAATATGAGCACAATTCGGTCCCTAGGGGTGTTATTCAGAAGGTTGAACTTTTAAGGCAAGTTTCTTCCATTACGATGTCGGCTCGATTCGATCTCGATGGTGACGTCTTATAGCGATTCGAATGACTCAATCATGACTTCATCTTCCCTGAATTCTAAAATAATTCTATCACATTTTTAATCAGCCAAACATGAGAACGAACCTAAAAAACAACAAGAGCTAGAGCATGTTCATATCACTGGTCCAGGGGAACAACCAGTTGAACACAATCAGCCAACTATTAAAAATCCGACAGTTACAAAAGTTCAACCAGTTGACGAATATCAACATAAATTAGAAGAGCGCGTTAAACTGGGTATAATTGACTTCAAACATGGAGATTTATACGGAAAGAATCACCAACGTGCTATGAGTAATCCTACGGTCAACGAAGTTGAAAAGGCTAAGAGACTTGAAAAGCTCCTTGGAACACTAGAAGACCATAAGCATCCATCGCTGGTTGATAAATTCAAAAAAGGTTTAATCTCTCTAATATGTCTCAATTTTCGCAATTTAAGATAAAGGAAACTTCAATCAGCGCTCCCAAAGTGACCCCGCTCGAAATAAAGTTGGAAAGGCAAAAAATTCTAATTCTAATGGACCTGGACAAGAATTAGAAAAGCAAATTAAAGAGCTCGCAATTAGTGACTTCAAACATGGAGATTTATACGCACAAAATCACCAACGTGCTATGAGCAACCCTATTGTCAAAGAAGATGAAACGGTTAATCGATATGAAAAGTTTCTTGGAACAATAGAGGATCATAAACATCCTTCGCTAGTTGATAAATACCGAAAAGGTTATCAAAAAAATCTTGCTAGTAAGTCTAATATTTCACAATTTAAGATAAAGGAAGCTTAAATCAACGCGCTAAAAGTGACCCCACTGGCAATCAAGTTGGAAAGGCAAAAAATTCTGATTCTAATGGAACTGAACATAAAGTAGAAGAAAGTTTCAAAAAACAGGCAATTATTGACTTTAAACATGGAGAATTATTAGGTGGGTAAATAATTATATAGGAAATTATTATTAATCACTACTTAATAATAACTATTTAAAAGTCGACCACATATTTGAGTTTTGTAATTTAATACACACAAGGTCAGAGCCTATGCGGTAACTTCACAAGGGTGTATCTATAGTAACACAAATGTTATATTAAGTAGATATCGTTAATATGCTTTTTACAACTGATTTTAATGCCACTTTCCTTCATTCGTTGACACAAAGGTCCCGATTATAACGTCTGTAGTTAACTTACAGTTGGAATGAAAAACTTTAAAAAGCCTGAATTATTAAAATACATAAACAATTTAGAAATTTGCATAACTTTAAGGTCGTAAAGGAGGATATAGTCAACGCACTATGAACATTCCTAGTGCCAATAAAGTAAAACAGGGAAAAGTAAGTAATTTTAATGGAGACGTTGAAGAGAAGGTAGGTGCAGAAAATGGCAATGATGATCATATGAATCCTAAATTAACTGGACGTAAGTTAGCTGCAGCTGAGCATAATCCAGGTGATTTATTAGGAAAACAATAAAATAAAATTAAAAGTTTAATTCCAGTTTTTGATACTCTTGGTTTTAAACGTGGAAGTTATGCGTTGGAAAAGCCTAAGAAAAAATGAGATATTTTGCCTGAAGAGTTTGACTAAAGGATGTACATAAGATTTTTTTGAGAATGTAAACAATGTACATAAGATTTTCACGAATGCACATACTATTTTTTGAAAGAAATTACATTTTTTTAAATTTACATAGTATCTATGCAACTGAAAAATTTTTTTTAAATTCTTTTATCTATTGGTATATGAAATTGTGTAGAGATAATCAGATTTTGACTGGACTTTAGGGTACTGATTTTAATTAAATTTTGAAGCAACGCTGGGACAAAAATACAATAGGTCTAGTCTATTAATTAAAAACAAAAGAGTGAGATTGTATGTTTATGTATTCGGTTGTAACATATTTAGTTTCGTTTTTTTATTAAAAGTTTAGAGGTCTGAATCTTTAAAGATTTGTGGTCTATGATCATAAATTTTTGTACATATATTAATTAGACTTTCCTCTAACAGCCTCTAAAATTTTAAAATTTTTTGTTGAGCATAGTAAGAGTTATGGTCGAAAAATTCGGGGTAGTCAAATTACTGATTTTTAGCAAATATATCAAAATATCTCGAAAAATATTGGTAAATGGTTGGCATGTGACATATCAATCGAAAGCTCTTCAAGTGCTCTAACTAGCGAAAAAAAGAAAATTTTAAAAATTCGAACCAGAAAAAAGTAATATGGTGCAGATAAAAAAATTGAAAATAATTAACTTGAGTGACAAACTAAGATTAAGCTACAACGATTTCCAACTTTATTTGAGTCTGATTACTATTATTATTATCCAATCTTAAATGTTCAATAATTTCTTTTAAAAGGGAGGTTAACTGAACAAAGATTAGAGGAAAAATTATAAAGGTTTTGAAAACTAAATTTCAATTTGTTTAACTGAAAATTGGAAAAGGAATAAAAAATTTATATTTTTAATATAAAAATAAAAATTGTTTAACAAAAACAACAAAAATAAAAATTTATTATCTTAGAAAAAATTTAACAAAGAAAATCATTAATAATTGATTCATTCTTTTATATTCTTTTATTCTTTAAAATTTTATCCTTAATTGTGAAACAGGTTGGGAAATCATTGATCCGGCAGACACCTTAAAAATTATTATATTTTTTCTAAAATAGTTTTATGTAGGTAATCGACAATGCTGATCGTGAATCTGAGCTTAGAATTCGTTAATTTTGAACCTCGGACTCGTTTCGACAATTCGAATTCGGGGTAAAAAATTCGAAATTAAAAATTCAGGGCATTTCTGACACGCCTATTCGAGCTGAGTTGAATGGTATCAAAATTTTTCAGTTTCGACAACTTTGGACGAAGTTATGGTGTCTAATTCGTATACAAAAGTGAATGATTTTGATACATTCGACTCAGCTCGAATAGGCGTGTCAGAATTGTTCTAAATTTTTAATTTCGATTTCAAACTTAATCAATAAGATGGAAATTTAAATAATTGCAGTATTTCTAGAAAATAATCGATGGTAATTCTTGGGTTCGTACACACTACTCTTTTTTCTGACGAACCCAAAAATTATCTAATCCAGTTATAAATTTTATTCACCTTAATTTGACGTCTTTTATAATGTCATTTATGTCATTCCTTTTGTTATGAACATTTTGTATGTGTTTCGCATAGAAGAAAATCAAGCTAAGATCATTTGACAAGCTGTTCAAGTATAAGTAAGCTTTATTGACATGGTTAAAAAAATCCAAAAATACCATAAATTATGAGATATTACCAGGTAAGGAATTAAAAAACAATAAGTACCTAATATAATATTTTTATTAATATTACCAACGGAAATGACTAAAAAATTTACGTAATTCTTTTGGATTAACTGTGCAAAGCTTGCATTTATATTCACATAATTGTACATGTTTGAACATATGGTCTTCTAGTAAATTCAGTCTGTGGATTTACGCCGCAGTCTATATAATTTTTCTGTTGCGGGAGATTTTCTACCACATTAATTGACCATTCTTGTTTATTCCCGATATTGCAGTCGAATTTCTTGGCAATGGCAAATAATAGATATCTGCAAAAATTTTTACATTAATTTATATAATAGATTATAAGGCAAAATTTTTGACTAATTCCTTTAAAATCACTCTAATTTTGAATATTACACTAAGGGATCCTATAATCAACAATATTTATAAAAAGAAAATGTTGGAGGAAATTTTCATAAATCCTTCCCTTTCTGTTATGCTCTACTTTCTTAAATATTGTCAGTTAAATTAGACTAATTAGAATGATAAATATTAAATGAATTTCTATAATGTAAAGCTTCATAATGGTAAAGCTTTATTGTTATTAATTAGTAAAGAATTTCATACTACTTTACATTTTTTCATAATAGTTTAATTATTAATTTTTAACTATTAAATATTTAATTCTTGAATAATTTATAAAAATAAAGCTATACTCATATACATTAAGCATAAATTTAAATAACTTTTGCCTTAATGAGGGATGTCAGTTCGAGTGAATAATATGTCTCCATTATTCTCAATCAAACACTTAGCAAACAAGATTGTAAAAACACCGCAGTCTATAGCATTTTTCTGCTGCGGAAGATTTTCTACTACTTTCATTGACTAATCTTCTTTATTCCCGATATTACAGCCGAATTTCTTGGCAATGGCAAATAATATATTCTGTAAAAATTTTTAATTTAATTTATACAATAAATTAAAGAATAACAGAACATAACACTTCCCATTACTCGTTTATCAATAGAAGATGGTTATAAAACTAGGTTGGTCCAAAATATGCACGAAAAGTTGCAAAATAGGCATGAGCTTATTTTTGTAATTTTAGGAGGAATTGTTCATAAATCCTTCCCTTAGCAGTGTTATGCTTTAAGTTAAATTATATTAATTAGAATGTTAAAATTTAATTAATTAATAAATCTTACAAAAATATGCTCATGTATTTTTTATGATCATAGCTTACATGTATAGAATCATACAATCTGATTTTTTTAGATTTCAATAGGCAATGCATAACGCATAGTGGTTGCCATTAACATATATTGGAACTAATATAATAGATAGTCCTTTTAAGCTCCAATTCAGTTGATCTATTGTTTAGTCAATAAGGAAATGCATTGTATGCTCCATTTCTATCACATTATATTTGTTGTTGACTGAAGAAAAATTTTTGTCGCGGTACCTTGGGCCGCTATACCATGGCCTGCTCCCGTTTACAAACTTTAGACTGCAATAAATTCTAATTCTAAAAATTCTGAAAACTTATAAAAATAAAAACTAAATTTCAGCTATAATCATCAAAATATTAATAATGTTATATATCTCGTGATCATTTTAGTAAATAAGGATATCAAGCTGAAATTATTTTTAGGGAATTATTGTTTGATTTACATCATTATCAGAATTTATTATTTCCTCAACAATTTCATTTTTTTCAGAAGACAATGAATTACGTATCATTTGTTTAATGTCACATTTTTCAATTTCAACAATCCTCTTTCCATGAATTTCAGCAAACGACATATATCCAGGCGAATTATTCTGAAATTTTTTCTATGCGTTTATTAGTTTTAGATAAAGAGATATGAGAGACATATAAAAAAATTAGTCGGCAAAAGCGTGGTTCTCTAACTTTAAAAATGAGAAAAATTCAGCCATACTCATAATTCTTATAACTTTTAAGTATAATACAAATAAAATCATGTAAATTTGACCCTTATTATTAGGTCAATTTCATTGCTCCATAACTATTTTTTCATTTACATTTTTTAATATGAGATATGAGAGAAATATAAAAAAATTAGTAAGTGGTTTTCTAACTTTAAAAATGAGAAAAAGGTGCTCGCCCGAAGGGCGAACCCCTTAGTTAGCCAAGCCCTATTAATAACATACGTTTTTATTTGCAATTTCCTTTCCTTGTTTATTATTATTTTCATTTTCAACAGTAAAATAATTTTCACTTGACAATTTAGATCTTCCATTATTTAATAAGTCCTTAAAAATTAATTCATTTTCATTTATTTTATTAATACAGGTTTTAATACTCAAGTTCACTCAAAGTACATACTTTCACTTGATTATACTTTTTTGATTAAGTTGGAAAATTATGAGAGCTGCCTAATAATAAATAATATTTCTAATAATAATAAATTTGCCTAATAATAATAACATATTTTCTTTTAGAATAATTATGTAGATGGGAAGATACCCGAGGAAAATTTATACAAGTATGAATCTCTTACTTAAATCTCT